AAAGTTTATTGACTTTAGAGAGCAATGGATTCACCTGGTGACTTGCAAATACTCCCCAAAATTCTCCATTGAAGTTACCAATGATAGTTCCTTCATGTAAGCCATTATCTCTTGCATGATTACGTGCAGTTGAAGTGAGATATGTACCCTGAGAATTTAATTATATAAAAGGCAAGAGATATTTTTTTAACTCATAGAATCATTGTGATTTTCCATGATATGCTATAAAATTCAGAAATGTGATTTTCCATGATATGCTATAAAGTTCAGAAAATTTACTGCATTGTACCTGCCCAACCCATATTATTGAAGCAGCAAAACCAAGGTAAAGAGAAGCTGGAACCATTGTAAACCTGAAAATATTTGTTCAGATAATCATGTCAACTTTCACAACTGCCTAAACATTGAGTTACAGAATTGAAATTTGACTTAAAGTCCAAGTAAATCACCATCTTTATGACTGATTTTAGTTATTCATATCCAYATGAGCATTTCCAAGCAAGTTCCAACAATATGACACTGATGACTTATCTGACAGTAACATAAACATTGAGTCCGAAGAATCTTTGAGAAAGCATTCTTACACCATGCTAGCCTTCACAAATCACGACTCACGAGGAAAGTTATGCAAGGTACTTTATTTTTCTTACGTTTTCCATTGAATATAGTGTTATTCTCCATCAGTTTTATTATAAACAGCCTCTTCAATCTGACTACCATAAGGTAGCTTTTCAAATAATTTATTAATGCATGACTTCAATAGTTGAATGCACGTCAAACACAGCTGGAGTCAGTGGTGCCCGAAATTCAGTGAAGAACTGATGTGTTCAACTTCATTGTTTAATCATGTTTAGAGAACACTAACAGTAATTCAGTATGCCAGAATGAACGACGTAACTTATTCTCTTCATTATGTTAAACTTTTTTCCTACGTGGGTAAGTGTATTATCAAAGCAGAGCGTTACTAAATCACAATATGAGTGGGGGTTTTCTCTAATTCAAAATAATGGACTGTAATTTAGTCACTCTCTATGAACTATGAAGTAACTCGATCTTTAGACTCTTACGTATGGGCATCTAAGTGATTTAGAGTTGATTGAGAGTATAAATAATCTTACCAATTTGGCTTCAAGTTTGCTGCTATGAACACCCAATAACCAGTAGTCCCAACAATCAAAGCATTCTTAGCCCCCAGTGCTCGAACCACCAAAGAAGCCACCAGGGAGAAAAACGTGAAAGATAAATACAATATTCCGAGCGAGGTAGTCCCTAAATCCTCCTCCTGATGAAAAATTTAACGGCCGAACAAATACACTCAGCACTCAGCTCAAATCAATAAGACCCAAAAACGAAATACCTAAAAAACGCAGCACGGCACAGCACCGACAGAGTGAAGACAAACTTACAGTATTGACAGTGCTCTCCAAGTTCTGCGCAGCTCCATAAGCAAGGAAGATCAACAGGAAAGCAAAACTCAGAACATGAACGTCTCTCGAACGATTCACCGCGCCTCGAATTGGCGCGTTATCGACTAGAAATCGGGCCTCTTCGACTCCGGGATCCGCGTAATCCATGGTCTCGGCGTGTCAATCCAATTGTTGGCAGAAACGCCTATAAAAGGCCCCAAATGGAGTGAGGTCAAAGCAGGAGAATCGCCGGCTGGAAGTGAACACAGACAAAAGAGTAGTTGTTCGATTAAATTATACAGGATCGAGCTCGAAATGTTCTGTTTGTTTGCTGCGAAAATAGAACGTGAGAATGAGATGAGAAGAGAAACTGGCCGACCGCCATTCTTATTTCTCTGTAAAAAAATTTCCCCGTTCTTTTCGCGCCGCCCGGAGGAGGGGCGATGCTGTTCTAATTCTTAACTTCTTCTAACTACTGATTTCTAAATCTAAATCCCATAAATAAAATTCAATTCAAGCGTAATTTACGATTTCACATTCCCCTATAAATATATAKAKAGAGAGAGTTTAAAAATACTATCGTAGTTCTATAATTCATTTCGATTCATATTTTAATTTCTATACTTTCTGTTTATATTTTGAAAGATGTMATTTTAAAAAATGACTATTTTAATTTCTATTTACGAACTATTAATATAAATTTTATACCCAATAGAAATCTTTTAATATAAATTTATGGCTACATTTTAAGAAAAATAGTGAAAAATTGAACAAAACTAACGTTCGAATATGATCACTTTAAAGAAGTACATAGTACATTGGTTAAAATTAACTAAAGTTTATAATATATGAGACAAAATAGACGTTTTGAAAGTGCATGAAGATCAAAATTAACCGACATGAAAAGCATAAAACCAAAATGTATTTGAACATTTATCAAAGAAACAGAAGTTCACGAGTTTGGCTCGACATTCCACTCACCATAGATTATCGGTGCCGTTATCAAAATGCTCCGATTTTTTAATTCCTTTTATTATGGTTTTCTGTTTGTACCAAAGAAAAGTTGTATTTAAAAGTACATCAAATGAAATCTGTAAAAAAATATATATACGATCATACGAATGATTGACGCCTGACGGTATAAAAACAGGCATTATCGAACAAACCTTTAGATGATATATATAGACTAATAAATGATATACCAAGATTATAGTTCATTGATATTTAAGTTAGTTGCTAATTACTATTGATTATGTTAAAATTAATGCCGTAGTACTAAAAAGAAAGTTAATTACTAGGGAGAAGTCCAATTAATGGTAAATATAGCAATATATGGCATTAAAAAAAAGGAGAAGATAAAAAGATAAATATAACACCAACATTCTCAAAAACCAGCCGGATAAATATAAATCAACGGTAATTGACATATAATTATTCCTTCGAGGTCGGATTCAATCTCCTATATTCCAAATTGATAATTATTGTACTAAAAAAACCATTCTCAAAAACTGAAAAACAAATCATGAATTTATAAAGAAAACGATAAAATCGTTGAATCTAAAAAGCAGGGCGATTCCAGTCCAAGAAAATAGAAACCTTTTTGCTACTAAAGAAGAACAGGAACAATAATAACAGAAAAATTACAGCCACATTGCTCACAGATACAAAAATATTCACTCCTCTTGTATACTGATCTATGGAGTACGAGCAGAAGAGCAGCTGGATTCTGATAACATCCTGCCGCAGTATCCCACTAAAGGGTAAAATTATACATATATATGTTGTCAAACAACTAAGAAACGTATTATTAGCTTGAACACATACAGAAGGCCATTTTTAGAACATAGGGCCGAAACACACTATATAMCACAAAACCAGGAAGATGTGCAGGGAAATTGATACCATTTTAGCCGAATTTGGGCGTTAATGCCAGAACATAGTGTTCAGCCAACTCGACTTCGAATGACATCRAGACCCATCTCGGTCGGATCGGTTGCTTGCAGCTCAACCTGAAAGCCATCCAGCTCTCTCTTGAATCTGTCTTTGGAGCTTGCATATATCATCTTGCTTCTGACTCTTGAACCATCAGGGGACCTTCATACAATGGCGTTTTTGTTTTTGTAAGCACGTGACAGTTGAAAATATAAACAGGAAAAGAATGTAACAATGGAGATGTCAGCTATACCAGGCAATGAAGAAGATTCTGCTCTTTTGACAGTTCTCTTCGGTAACAAAGTCAAAATCGTAGATAGCGTAACGACATTCATCCAGAGGAAGGCTTGCAGCAAAGTCCTCATAACTTTGTGTTGGCTCGCCGACTTTCTCTACTACAACTTGCTTTTGCTTCTCCTCAATCTTAAACACGATAAAGCGATAYGTTCTTTTGGCCTTGAGCTCCAAGAACTTCAGCTTGCAATCATCATGCACATCCATTCCCGATGCTGCATTGGCCTATGTATTGCAGAATGAAATAGCTTATTATAATTTTGAAGTCCAAAAGAGATGTAATGCTCGACGAGTTGAAAAGGCAGTACAAACTTGGGATTAATGTTCTGGATAACACAGCCATAACATGGTGAATATTGCTTATTCYACCACTGGGAAGGAAGAGAATTTTTCTGATCTGATCAAAATTTGCAAAAGTTGACAGAATTGTTCTTTTTTTTCATCATAGAACTTCATGTGCGCTGTTATTTTATGGTCATATTTAGTCAAAATAAGATAATAGCGTAATAAGTAAATAGTGTGGATTTTCTTGTTCAGCCACGCAAGATAGGGATATGAGTCGGCCGGGACTTTTTCCCCATAAGTTTTTACTTCTATCTTGATGTTGATTTCCTCCAAAATCTTAAACAAAGTATGGATCCGATTCAAGCATCACCACTTCACAGAGTTTTTTAGACTTCGTTTACAACATGCATAAGGAGATTAAGTACTATCTCAAAAAATGGGAATACACTAATGTAATTTCTAGTTGAAGTCCTTGACACACRCAAATAAATAAATAAAAATAACAAAATAAAAAGCACAATGTGAGGTTAGCAAAAACACTACTAACATCCACAAACAAAATCGGTGATCATATAGATCCACGGCTACTCGATCACTTGAAGTCGCCAATGAATTTCTCACAGAGAAAGAAAAAGGACCGTTCGTTTTATTTCAAAAAATCACAGTAGCTTAAAGAAGAAGATATAACAACTATACAAAATCAAGTCGGATCTCCAAGCGAACACTACGCATTCACTTTCCAGTCCCGAAAACTACATGCGGATTACGAGTCCTCAAAAAACAGAGAATCAGAGATTCCACATGCGTTTAATTTCAAGAAAGCTACGACAAAAAAAAAAAAAAAGTTGCAAGAAGCTCCCGATCTCGAGACTACATTCATTTTCAAAGAGGCGAACTAGAATAGAACCCTACTACTTTCTCGAGAACCAAACAGATCATCAGACCACGAATTAAAGAGAAGAGTAACAAAAGTTCAGAAGAATCACCATTTTGAGTGCCGCTTTTTTCCGATACAATCCGGCGATCGGAATCGAGAAGGAAGATGCTCCGACGAAGAAGAAGAAGAAGAAGAAACCGTGGTTCGGGAATGGAAAAAAATGTAGAGAGGATTTTATAGTGGTGGGTTTGGTTCGGTCGTGCTCCGGAGTAACGCTATCGTGCCGGTGATTTATATCTGCGAGTTGGCGGTGAGATGCTGATGGCCCAACCAACATGCGCCACGTGTAATTGGAGCGGGGSCGGTACCTCTGGCTGCAAAACGGCTCCGTTCGAGCCGGCTCATCCGGCTTTCTGTCAACCTTATCTTATATTTCAAATTTTTATTTTTTTTAAATTTTGACTTGTATCAAATTCAACTCTCCAATCTCATTAAAACATAACTCTACTCTAAGTAGATGAGGAGTTATTATCGTCTCATCCGTTGAACTAAAAAATATTATGAAAATACGAAAGTGGGTTTGTAGAGGGTTGCGTGGACACTCGTCAATTCATTTTTTGTCTGTATTTTCAAATTGAGCATACTTAAAAATGTTTTTGGTGTCTATTATTTTCATTAAAGTTGAAGATTTGATTTTCTTACTTTCGCATTTGTTGAATTCAAAGAGAGAGAGGCTAAAGAACATTATCAAGTCGAAAATCATAAGGATGCTAACTTTASGCTATCCCATACAGTCTCAAATATTACTTTGATTTTTTGACGTGTGAGAGGACYCACTCTAAAAACGTCCATCTTTTAATTATTTTGTTGGTTGGTGTAAAAATTATTAAGCTAAATTACATGCTTATTATTTAAATTTTTAAACAAACCTTTTAAAAATAGATAACCARGATTGAAAGTATACGAACTAAAATCAATATTCAAATTAGTTTTTTTCTTTTTCTTTTTTTTTAAATAATTAGTTTTTTTCTTTTAACCATAAGGACCACTCAGATCAAATTTATAATTTAATATAAATCTAACTAAATATTTTAAAAACAATAATAAAAAGTAGTGGGGAGGGTGTACGGCTCGTAGACACGGCGAGCGGCTCGGCGGATTTGGACCACATTAAATATAACGAAGCGACTAGTTGAGTTCGTTTCTTTTTCTTTTTCTTTTTTTTSGTTGACATATTTTCTCAAAAGTTTTTTAAAAATTTGAAATTGGCATTAAATAATTTGCCACCTCTCTTTCTCGAGATTCCTTCCACTGCGTCCATCTAACGCTATTTTGTCTCTCTCTTTATTTCTAAAAAATGAAAGAAAAAGGCACATCCTTCCCACGCCTTCCGTTTTTCCACATTGCCTTTGCTTGTTTTGTTGCCAACCATTTTGGTTTCCTTTTCCCTTTTTCCACATTCTAAGCCATGGGAGACCCTTGCATCCTTCCATTTTATCATAATTCAATCACATGTAAATGCATTTCTCTTTATTAAAAATTGCCTATATGAAAAAAAAGTTGTCAAATTGACAGAATAATATCCGTTAAAAAGTTGAATAAGTATATATGTAATGTATTCGACTTCGTCTCTTTTAATTGTGAACTACTCATCAGTAAGGATTTAAATATTACTTATTGATAGTCTTAAAATTAATTAGATTGATTGAGTATAACTTTAGTTATGTGTACCCGATCGATTTGATTTATACATTTTGTTGAATTTTATAGTTTGATTGATTTCCATGAAATTTTTTATTTTTTATTTTTGTCTCTCTTAAACGTATTACACTTTGTGTTCCATCATTTTTTTTTTCTCGACTTTGATTTAATCCAATTGACATATTGTTCTATTATACTAAATTGTGTTAAACCATCAATCATGGTCCAATGTTGCATTAAATTTAAATTAATAATGGTGGTGACAATTTTTTCATAAAATCAATATGTATTTTAGTTGTTTAAATGTGGAGAATAAATATAAGAAATCATATTTTTTATAAAGTACATTTACCATTCTTAGTCAATAAAGTCAGGCATGTTTTTTTTTTTTTTTTTACTTGTTGACATAACAGGGTTCGAACCTAAATCTTGGATGTCAATACAATTTAATACAATAGAACAATAGGTCAATTTAATTCAACACCCAAGCTTCTTGTCACTGCGCCAACATCCCAAGATACCATAGAAGCGTGTTTAATAAGTCAAGATGAGTACAATTGCATATATATATATATATATATATATATGCTAAATCTCTAGATTTAGAATTATAACTTTTCTCTAGAGATAAAAGTTATAATTTAACTTGTATATACACTTTTAATTTTGTATCTAATAAAATTTGAAAATTTATAAACGGTTAGATACTTTTAGGTCAAAATACTAGTTTTGTCCATTGATTTGTTTGGGTGTATATATTTTTCATTTTGATCCATGGACTTTCAACTTTGGTTTATTAGTTTTGGTATATGTTTTTTGAAAAATGATTTTTCTGTCCTTAATTTTATTTGTTAATCTCATTTTGCTACTACAATTTCAACACACCATTACACTCAATATATTTTTTGAAATGCAACAATAACTTTATATTAAAAGGTCTATCTTACCTGCAGAATTTGTATTAAAATTCTAAAACTAAAGATCGAAATGGTCACTTTTAAAACACAGAGGAACCAAAATAAACCTCTTGAAAGTAAGGAATTAAATGGTTAAAAGCATAGGACTAAAATAAATATTTTTACATTTTTTTTAGAATGGAATTTATTGCCCTTATTTTAACATGCTTTTATTTATTATTATTTTACAAAAACCACCAAAAAACGGGGAAAGAAAAAGAAAAGAAAGCCGAATTCGATGCGCGGGTCGGGTTCCAGCACCGATTCCCGCCCGCAAAACGCCAGACGCAGAGACCAGCTTTCTTCGGGTCAACATAGAAAAATGCCAGAAAATAAAAACACTGGGGAACAGATTATGGGAAAAGAAAAATTAAAAATGAAAATGCTGAGATCTAACTGCAAATTTTTCCCCACAATTTCATTGAGATTCCAATTCCATAATCCATGCTCAACTAAAACAAAAAAGAAAACGAAACGACAGATCGAAAACAAACCCTACTACTCCATCTTCCACAATGCAGGATCCCACAAAACGACGTCGCATCCCGAATCCCCGCTAGCTCGGCGGTTTCTGAGCTTCATTGGAGGCCGCCGGAGCAGGAGGCCTGGCCACCGCTCGGATCTGCGGCTGCGACGGCGGGCGAGCCACCGGGCTCTGCTGCGGGGCAGCTTCAGCGGCGGCGGGCGGGTCGGACAGGTAATCCGCCGCCACGAAAACGCCCTGCGAAGGCCGCCTGTGGTGCCTGCCGCTGCCGGAGCGCTGCGACATCTCGGAACAGAAATTTTGAAATGGATTGAAAATTAAAATTAAAAGCAGAGATAGAAAAGAAATAGTGGGAGAGTCACCGGCGTAACCGTGGAGGGTTGACTGGATTTTATATAAAATGGTAAGGAGTTTATGAGAGCAATATTGGAGTTCCGAGATTCATGGACATTATTATATTTATGTTATTAATGTTATTACCGTAGAAAATTCATAGGCGGAGGAAATCTCCTAACTGCCCCTCCCTCCGATTCATGCACCCAATTTTACATTGCAATTTAATGAACGCAACGGACACGTGCATACGTTTTGGATAAGATTTAGATTTTAATTAATTAATTAATAATTAATTAATTAATTCCACCCTTGGTTGAGTTTATCCAAAACTAATTTTTACACCAAATCTAATTATTTCGGCTGCAAATTTAGAATTCCGGTGTTCTCTGGTAACCACTTATCGTTGAATGTCTTGCGATAAAGGAATGACTTTAATTAGTAAATCATTTTGGTATCGGATGAATTTCTCTTGAATCGTAATATCGTTGGACGATATGAATTATGAATTGAGAGTTGGAGTTGTTGGATGAGATAAGAATAATTGTCAAAGACATTAGAGATGGTCTCCAAATAAATTTGTTTCATAGATATATACCGCAATACGAACGAGCCAGCCTACATGGTGGCAAAAATTTTGAACGAGTCTTTCAAAGTTTTGTGGATTTCTCACTGTTTATATTGGCTAGTGTCATTGGCTAAGTTAGATGTTGATGTAACATGATATTTAATGAAAGTACTCCTTTTTAGGGAAAAAAACCATTTTCTCTGTATGTAAGGTCAAAAAATGAGAAGTGAACATTGTATCGTGGACAATTCCTTATCCGTCTTTTATATATTTACATATTATTGTTTTTTTCTTGAATTTACTCTATGTACATCAACATATGACATATAAAAAAATGATGTCATTACGAATCACTGTTTGTTTCGAGTTCCTATCAAAAAAGAGATGGTCACTGCACGCAATATCATCTATACTAGCCCAAACTCAAAATGAGCTCATTGTTGTGCTCTATTTGCCATGACCATGATGAAAAAGGTTAAATGATGAAAATGTCGCATGAGTTGTGGTCATTATTGCATTAACATCCAACACCTCTTGTCCTAGCAAATTGGAAGAGTTGTCTAACTCTTTGAAAAACAGGTTTAAAGAGCCCTCAACTTTTAAGGATAAAACTTACGAATAGATACTCGTGTGGAATCGCTTTTGAGGTAGTAACTCATTAATCATATGTATACAGAAAAACGGTAACATACAATGTAGCAACTCAATAGCTATATAGCCAACACGAGTATAACTCAGCAGTTAAGGTATATTGCTCATTTTTTAAAGGTCATATGTTAAATCCTTCATCCCTACATATATTTGTTGTACAAAAAAAAAAAACACTCAATAATTATATTAATAGATAAGAAATGGTAACACAATGTCTTTAAAAATCATTTTTAAAAGTTGTTTTGGCTATGGACTATCTGTCTAACCGTATGACTCAAATTTACCGGAACATGTCCCCTACATCATTCCTCTTTAAAAAGAGGAGTCAAACTCTACGCAATATCTTGTAGCATATACTTTACTCTCTTATGAGCTATTAAGAACTAAGTTATAATCTAAGATTTGAAGGGCATTTCGCAGAGCACCAAACTGGTATTGAGTTCGATTTTTTTAGATTGCATACATGTGAAGCGAACTACCACATCACTATCCGCTGGCCACATCAGCATACTGGATTTGGGCACCAACAATTCTAACCTATCCTAGAAAACAGGTTTATAATCCAACGAAATTGGGTTTATCCAATAGCTGTATAACCTTGATCCAATATAACCCAGAGTCTAGTTGGGCTCGGCCCATTCAAATATTCCTCTTCATCAAACAGCAGCAGAAACAAACAAAATTTAAAATATTAGATATTAAAAAAGATTTAGCCATTATTACTCATCAAAAATCAGAAAAAAAAATGATGTTTAACTTTTATTCTCTTACATGGGAAGTATGTTTTATGAATGAAGATGTTTTTTTTTAATTAAAAAATGAAAAGTTTAAATATAAACTACTCAACAACTTCAATCACAATTTTTAAAGATCGTCCCACCAGCAAGATATAAAAAATCACAATGACGTGGAATAATCCAACGGCCCAAAATTAGGTTTGTTATAGCAAAAACAACTGCTACGATCTTCAAATTACACGTCACCAAGTGATAAGGCAGGGAAAGGCAAAGGAAGCGTTATTAATTTGGGAAAAAAAAAGCTGCTGATAACGTGGTCCCGACCGTAGATGTGACACGTCATCATAAACGCCTCCAGGTCACCACAATTGCTGGCACAGTGGTGACACGTGGTGGTTTGTGATTGGATAAGAGAGCGGACCCCGTGGATTTTTCCAACTGTCGTCTCGCTTCCTTCTAAAGATCGTGAGTCGTGACGAACTTTACTATTTTTGTTGTTGCTTTTTTTTAATAATAAATTAAATAAATATTAAAGAAAAATTCTCAAGAGAGTTTCTCTCTCATCGAGCGCGCTCTCTCTATCTCGTCCAAAGCTAAATCTTGACCGCGAACCAAAAGCTTTTTCATTTCAGTTTTTTGCCGCTCTGCTCTTTCGTTTGTCCTTTCAGGTTTTCGCGGACAAAACCCTAGCCCTAACTAATCCGGTGTTCGTCGTATTCGGATTCTGATTCTACTGCCAGAGGCCTGAAATCTGTTGTCGACTTGGCAGATCTCAGATCCGTTGTCGTTGGGAATTCAATCGGAGGCTCTGGTTTGCGGAGCTTGGATTTTATTGGTCTTCTGGTTTTGATTCTTGAGTTGTTCTGATCGGATTCTGGCTATTTAGGTTTCAAGAAAGGTGTCGAGGTTAGATTTCTTGATTTTGACAATAGAACTATCGGTTTTGATTTGGTGATAACCGCTGGCGGTTATTCTCAATTGATGGTTTTCTGATATTCTTTTCATTTGGTCGATTTTAGGTTTTCTGGAAGGTTAGCATTTGAATTCTCGATTGGTTATTATCTTCTCACCCAATTGAAGGCTCCAAGCAATTTAAGTCAGTTTTACGTGAATCTGGATTTTCATTTCCACTCTGCGTGGGCTTTTTGGATGCTGCCGACTGGGTTTGCAGTATTGTTAGCTACAGCTTCTGCAGATTTGGAGGAATATATATTGGATGGGAGAAGAAGCAGCTGGTTTGGCTGCAGTTACAAATGAGCCGCTGGGGAAAGAGAGCGCTTCGAGTACCGAATTGAAGCGCGACCATCAGTGTCTTGCTGAAGATACTGAACCCGAGTCATTACACAATAAGAAGCAGGCAAAAGAAGTATCCAATGAAGACGTTCGTTCAGAAGTTTCGAATCCCGTAATTTCTCCGAAAGGGAATCATTTCCAAGACATCACTAGCAGCCAGCCAGACGAGCTAGAAAATACTAACCAAGTCGAGCGCGGGGATCTTACGTCGGCTTGTTCGGGAAACTCAAGCTCCGAGGATATCTCAAGCGATGGAGTTCCTTGCCGGAACAACACATCTCGAAATGACGCTGATATGTGCGATGTTGACGAGGTTTCTCGGTTTGTGCTTGAAATTCCCAAGCATGCTAGTTCAACTGGAATTAGGAAAATTACGTTCAAATTCAGCAAAAAAAAGGAGGACAACAATTTCACATCCATGTCAGTAAGCAAAGTTCATTCTAATGGAAATTCTGATAAAGACTGTAAACCAGAACCATCGTCGGTGGATGATGCTTATACGGAGACATCTGCACATAGCTGGGAAGGCTGTGCTGAGAGCAGCAGGTTTCCCTTAGGTCCTAATAAAATGGAATTGAAAATGTCGAAGAAGGTTTTACCAAACAATTACCCTTCGAATGTTAAAAAGCTGCTGTCGACGGGTATACTTGACGGCGCTCGAGTAAAGTATATATCTACGACAAGTGAGGTATTTGTCCCCTGTTCTTCCTAATACTGCCCAAGTGCTATTTTCTTCACCGCCTGATTTATTTTCTTTTCAGATAAAGCTACACGGTATTATAAATCGCGGGGGATATATGTGCGGATGTTCAGTATGCAATTTCACGACTGTAAGTTATAAGACCCAATTCTTTTACATGATTTTCGGACTTCCTTAGAGTGACCGTATAATCAGTGATAATTTGAACAGATTCTCAGTGCTTATGAGTTTGAGCAGCATGCGGGTTTCAAGACTAGACATCCAAATAATCATATATACCTGGAGAATGGGAGGCCAATTTATAGCGTCATACAGGAAATTAAGAGTGCTCCTCTTAGCATATTGGATGAAGTGATTAAGGACGTAGCGGGTCCGTCTGTTAACATGGATTCGTTTGAGGCTTGGAAAGGTATTGATGTTTATGTTTCTTATTAAAAAATCATTCTCTCTTCTTTCTGAATAAAATTTAAAAAATATTCACATGCCTTTTGGCTAAATAAGCCAGTTTGCTCCATTCAAACCTGAAAATGTTTAGGATTGGAGCTGCATCTATCTGCTACTTCAGCATTAAGTATGAGACTAAGTTCTGACTGTAAATAATTTGCTTCCCTTGAAATGAAGGAGCTACTCTTTTCTTCTTCTTCTTTTTAATTTTTTTTTTACTTTTTTTTTCCGACAATTTTATGTTCTGCAGTAAGTTTCCACCAGAACAGTGCAAGTATTGAAGTGGAAAACGATGACGTGAAGCTTCCTAAATTGTCACATTCCATTGAGAGGTATAGGATAACTTGAAACTTGGTTACCCTTTTCTAAGTTTGTTGAAAAATATAAGGATATATTGTATCCAGGACGGCAATTCATTTTCTTTATGTTATTTATTGCTGGATTATGTGCATGCCCTTCTTCACCTTTTTGCATCAAACAATTGCCATGATGTACTTTTGCCGCTCAATATGTCTTTCCTATTGCCAGTAAGACAAAACTTATATGTTATAGTGCATCTTTTATAAGACGTAAGGTGACTAAGATTTAGTTTCTGTTTGATTCTAGGGTTTGAGGGCCAAGGAATATTTAAAGAAATTCCCTGAGATTTTGGGTTAGCAACCTTACTGACCTCACCAAAGTAAATACTCTTGAATGGATTAGAAATTTCTCATCTCATGCTAAATATTGTTTTGAGATGAACGAAGATGCATGAACCTTTTTCTGTTAGCAACCTTTGTAATTCGATCCAAATGCATTTTATCAGTGTACTGCAGCAATTTTTTAATCTTTATTGTATCAGAAGTATGAAGCTACGAGCTAGCACTGTTTTTGGTGTTTTAGCTTTTCTGATAATTATTAGATTTATGAAAATGCTGGCTACAGATACAGTGCGTTGCACCACATTTTCTTAAAGAGACATTTTAGTTTGTGTTTACGTTATAAATATTGAATTTTCAGAATACCTTTGTGCTTCGTTAGCAACAATAATTTTCTTTTTTATGCAGACCAAACCCTAATTTATCCAACTTGGTCGTGCAACAAAAGAAAACGACAGAAAAAGGCACCAAAAGAAGGTATTTTTCTTTTATTGGTTTTACAAGTGCATCCTCTATTTACTTCTTAGAAAAAAGTTTATGGCATTCTTTATAACTGATAGTTTTCCCCCTATATTGGCAGGGACAATGATCTTCACAGGCTACTTTTCATGCCAAATGGGCTTCCTGATGGTGCAGAGCTGGCATACTTTGTCAAAGGACAGGTAAATGGAATGGTAGCTTGATGTATGCATATGATGACTAAGTTTGTGGATGATCTGACCTTTTTTCCTTTATGTTTCCCTACTTTCCAAAGAAAATACTTGGAGGCTACAAGCAAGGAAATGGAATTGTCTGTAGTCACTGTAATCGAGAGGTTAGGTGCTGCAACTTTTATTGCTAGTGTAACCTCACCTTTTCTACTGTATTAATATATTTCGGTCTGTATTTTTCTATTTCTAAACTATTTTACGAATTTGAAACAGATTAGTCCTTCCCAATTTGAAGCTCATGCAGGAATGGCTGCCAGACGTCAACCGTGAGTATAGTGTAGTGTTATATTACCTTGAAGTGCTGCTAGATTGGCATACTAAAAGAATGTTTTCTTATGTAATGCAGCTACCGCCACATTTATACTACAAACGGGCTTACGCTTCATGATATTGCCATTTCCTTGGCTAGTGGGCAGAAACTTACCACTGGAGACAGTGATGATATGTGTGCTGCATGTGGTAATGGAGGGGATTTAATTTTCTGTGATCGCTGTCCTCGAGCTTTTCATACAGGTGGATCTTTGATCTTCTTTCTTTCTTTCTCTTTCCTATTTTTATATCCTGTTTTAGTTGAAGACCTTGTCGCATAGATTCTTTTTAGTTTCATGTTTGTTCAAAATTGCTTCCAGAATCATGTAATATGCCTGGAGTGTGGATTTCAGTTTGTCTCAACGATTAGGCTTTAGCATTAGCACACACCCCGGTGTTCATTTGACTCTCTCACCTTGCTAATTTTTTGGAACTATTTCTGCTTATTTTCACAATTGTATGCAAGTTCTGCATTCTAAAGTTTTATTTTTCAGGGTGCTTGCATCTACAGAATGTTCCTGAAGGAGTTTGGTGTTGCCCAAATTGTAGAGATAAAGTGGGTTCCAGTTTGAAGGCTGCTTCCGGAGGTTCTTTGAGTTTTTCAAAACCAATTGTATTTAAGTTAACACGAGTTGTTAAAGCACCTGAGTATGAAATCGGTGGTTGTGTTGTTTGCAGGTAGTTAACTTTTTCTCCCATCCTTCTCTTAACTCTTCAATGATGGCTTTCCTTTTAGGAATCTATTGATTAGAATAATTTAGGAGAATCTGACTGCTACCTTTAAATTGAGATCTAGGTAGGGGGTTATGTAAACATCTGCACCATTTTTAACCAGATAAGTATTAATAATTTTTAAAGAACCTGTTTAGGAAGGAAGCATATATGTCTTGTTTATTGAGATCTAGGCTAGGTAGGGGATTATGTAAAACTTTGCTTCATTTTTAACTGGATACATATTAATAATTTTTAAAGAGCCTGTTTAGGAAGGAACCATATTTGTCTTGTTTATTTTTTAAATTTCTTTTTCCTTTTTCCTTTTTTCAGATTTTGTTTGTTTTTAATCTTATATCATATATGACATATTTAAAGTTGATGAAAAGAAATCAAAAGTTCATCCATTCGGCATTTAAAAAAAAAAAAAATTATTTAGCTGAAACTCCAATCCAGTAGTGGCTGGATAAAATTTATTTATTATTTTAATGGTGAGATCACGATATTATTTTGAATGTCTGACTTGCCATTCAAGACGTTCATATTGGTTTAAAAATTAAGCAATGTTTACTATTTAGACTTCTTATAGATGTAGTAAAGTTGGTTAAGGTGCAGTTGACTTTTTAGGTGTGTCCTTTCCTTAGTTAATAGATGGATGGCTTTGTGATATCAACACAATGAAGGGCTAATGTATGTAATTGACTGTTTCATGATAAAACAGAAGCTTTATTTACTCGTTATATTGTTTCTTATCAAAAAGAAGAAATTCCATATCTCATTATTTGTGTAGGTATATGATTTATATGACCTTTAACTCTGGTATATCTTTTTTGTGATCTTGTAGGCGACATGATTTCAGTGCTGCTAAATTTGATGATCGAACTGTATTGCTATGTGATCAAGTATGAACATTACGTTATATTTTCTATTTGATTTTTTCTATGTTGCTTTTGCTTTGTCTAGTCTAATGTCTAATTTTTTCTTTTTGTTCAGTGTGAGAGAGAATTCCATGTTGGCTGTTTGCGGGATAGTGGGTTATGTGATCTGAAGGTAAGTTTAAAAGCAATTTAGTATCTTTTATTCTTAAAGAATGTTATGAAGTTACTTAGGGGAACTTGATTTTCCTGTAGGAACTCCCGAAGGATAAGTGGTTCTGCTGTGATGAGTGCAGTCATATCCACGTGGCCCTTCAGAATACGGTTTTGAACGGGGCACAAATCATTCCAGATTCATTATCAGAGTTAGTAATCAGAAAGCATGCTGGAAAAGGATTAGTAATTGATGGAGCTCTTAATGATGTTCGGTGGCAAATTTTAAGTGGAAAAAGTCGGTACCCAGAAGATCTTCCATTTCTTTCTAGGGCGACTGCTATTTTTCGAGTATGTTTCTTCATACTATCTTGATACTCCAGTACTTGGTTGTAATTTCATCGTACTATTTTGTTTGCCGAAATGTTAGACTAGTTCAAATAGGCTGTGTGCTCTTAACCTTTAATCCAAGTTCTAGCCTAATTGGAATCTATGATGTGCTTAAGCCATATTATTAGTATGGCTATTTTAAAATACAAT